TTAAAACCATAGCATGTGCATTCATTATTTTGTCGATAACTTCTTACATGCTATGATATACGGATGGACGTTTGTTGTTATTTGTGGAGGAAACATGTGTTACCGCCCCGCAAAGGTTAATCCAAGGGGTCAGCTTGCTAATTTGCATATTATGCATCATAGTATATAAATATTCAATTTACAAATAATTAAGTGTAAATAATGGTTATAATAGATTCAATAAATTGTTCTATCCGCTCAGGTTTATGAACATAATATATGTAATAACCAGTAAGGAAAGTAGAAAAGTCGGACGGGGCCGACTATATGATACCCTTCACCACTTTGGATATATTCAACAGATAAATCGTAATAGACGTCGCATTTTTAAAGGACCAGTAAAATGAAATTTGATCCATAAACATCTCATTTTGCAACCGATACTAATTTTTCATTTGGTTAGATATAGAAGCTATATCTAAATCTGAACCGACTTCAGGAAACTTAACACTCATCATTCTAGACCTAATTCATTAGTCTTTGCCAAATTTCGTGCAAATCGAAAGATATATAGGGACTTTGGTACACCATTTACCTTAAATCGGACGAAAATATATATGGGAGCTATATCTAAATTTGAATCTATTTTTCCCAATTTCAATAGGGTTCGTCCTTGGGCCAAATAAGTGACCTTTGCCAAATTTCATCCAAATTGGATTTTAAATGCGACCTGCACGTTGTTCACAAAAATACATGGACGGACAGACGGGGATGCATAAATCGACTCAGAAGGTGATTCTATGCATATTCTCAAAAGGAAATTTATGTAAATGTAGTACAAAATGGAAAAATTCGCTGCTGCGAACACAAATTTTCTGTGAAAAAAATTCATTTTCATCCGAAAACCCGAACTAATTTTCACGAAATTTAGCATACATCAGTCAGACTCAATTCAATACGCTATGCCAAATTTCGTACAAATCGAAAGATATAAAGGGACATTGGTGAACCATTTCAATTAAATCGGACGAAAATATATATGGGAGATATATCTAAATTTGTACCGAAACTTACCACACATAATTCTACACTTAATTCGGTACGGTGTGCCAAATTTCGTGCAAATCGAAAGATATATAAGGACTTTGGTGCTCTATTTTCTTTAAATCGGACAAAAAATATATATGAGAGCTATAATTGAATCTGAACCGATTTCCCCAATTTCAATAGGGTTAGTCCTTAGGCCAAACAAATGAGCTGTAACAAATTTCAACCAAATCGGATTATAAATTGCAAACTGTACTTTGTTTACAATTTAAAATGGTCTCAGAAAGTGATTCTATGCATATTCTCAAAAGGAACCATGGGACTATCTCGATTCCTTTAGTCTGTTACAAACATATGCACAAAGACATATAAGTAAGTAAACCGTAAATAAGTAATAAAACCATAAAACTCGACCGCGCCGAACTTTAGATGCCCTAAACCCTAAGTATACTGACAAGTACTTTTTTGGTCTAAATTGTGAAAAAAAATTGAATTGTGTCTAAAACGCACGTTGTAATATTTATTGACATCTAGTCGGTCATATAGAACCACAGAAAGTTAGATTTTCGTGGAAGTTGTGTAGGGTATCAAATGGTCGGCCCGTCCGAATATACTGCTCCGCTCACTTTTTTTTTATTTGATTCGAACCTAAACTAATTCAAGAATGTCCCTAAAAAAATTCAAGTGAAAATCTCAACAACTTTTGAAGATTTGACTGATTTATTGTGTCAGCATTAAGCGACGGCTGAAATGCTTCTCAAACTTTAAATGCGTTTTTCTCGAAGCAGTGTTTTTACGAATGGCGGGCACAATTAACCAAAAACTAATAATCCGATCGGTTTTCTTTAAATTTTGAGCCATGTCAATAATTCTATTTCATTTTATGTAGACACATTTTCCTGACATATTAGTTTAAATTACAAAAGATACGCAGACCGATGAAAATGACTAGGTCGTCTTAGAATTCCATACTTTCTACGATACAAATTGACTATTTCAAGCACAGAATATTCCCTATAAAATATTCCTACTGTAAAAAAGGGACAGACCCAACACGCGAAGTTTACTATTCGAATATAAACCAGATATAATATCCTACACAACTACGACTAAAATTTAACTTTTTGTGGATCTATATTCCGAACATGGTCAATACTAAATCATGTCAAAAATAATAGGTAGACCCTTGTAAATATTGACGTACAACATTCCCACATTCGAGTAAATACATTAGTATAATTGGTATCAAATTAAAGGACAGGGATGACTGACTTCTCCGGTCTATGTCCATTAGGAGCATACTGCGTAGCATACAAATTATGCTATTTTCCACACAAAAGTCTGGGTCCATTTGATCCGCTAAATATTTACCGATAATCATGGAAAGATCAATACTTTTTCCTAGGTCATACCAGTTTCTTTGTGTAAAATTTAGTGATGTCATAATTGTGGCTTCTAGAGCGACTAGAAAAACAGACAAAATATTATTCGGTTATTACTGAAAACAATTAGCCAGAACCGAACCTACATGCAAAATTTTATGACGATTGGCCTGTACAGTGTTTACAAATAATAATGTACAGTCGGACGGAGAGTCACACATGTCTAGATGGACTCAGCTAGTCGAGATCAATATATTAAAATATATGTCTATTACTAACATTTCGCAAGGATACAAATTCTTGAGGCCAGACGAAGCTCTAATACCCTTACAACATAGTTGTGTAGGGTATAAAAATGTGTTGTACGGGGTTTACCCCCAAAATATGGGCGAATATTAATAATTTATAGTAGGTAGATTTTTACCAAGTACGAATCTAAAATACAGAATTACGGCAAATTTGCTCAAAGCTCCAAAATACCGCATATTATATAGAGGCTACCCAAACAAATTGAAAAAATTTTGTCGGGAAGATGTGGTACGCAATTGGAACCCTACTTATCAAATTACAGAAAATTCTTTCGAAAAACTTTAATAAAATCCTTAAGACTGGATATTTGGGGGCTAGGCCTTCCTGCGTACAGACAAACGACAACTATATGCACAATATTGGCGATCTCAATTAGTTTAGAAGCTCGAGTGGTTACAATAGAAAGATATTTGTAAGTCGTCATACATCAAGAATATATATTGTTTATAGGATCGAAAATGATTATTTTGATGAGTTGCAAACGGAAAAACAACCCTATAAGAAATATGGGCCTATAATGAAGAAGTTTTTTTCTAAAATTCGGAATGCCAATTTTCAACCATTTTGGAGAAAAAATGCGGCTAAATCTTTAAATGTTGTCGGAACCATGATAAGCGCGCACTTTTAATAGACAATCCCAGAACAATATCAAATTACAGCAAGGAATAAATTATAGTCAATCTTTGTTTGATGGTGGCGTTTTCCCCACCCGGTCCGAACTACATGAAATTTTACATGGAGTATGTATTAGGGTTATGACTTTTTTACAACTTCGTATCCGATTCTATAAAAAAAGCTTATGCCCAAAACTATTTGAACATTTTTTGATTTTTTTTCTAAATATATATTTATACCTTTTACCAATCTGTGGTACAGGGTATTATGTCTTTTTGCATATGTTTGTAACAGCAAAAGGAAACGAGATAGACATAGACACACATATGCATAGAATCACTTTCTGAGTCGATTTATGCATGTCCGTGTGTTGATGTTGAATTGTAAATTTATGATCCGATTTGGATTAAATTTGGCACATGTCACTTATTTGCCCCAAGGACGAAATTGGAGAAAATCGGTTCAGATTTATAGCTCCCATACAAATTTTTTCGTCCGATTGAGACAAAATATTATACTAAATTAGGTTAAAATTACTTCCGATTTAGATATAGCTCTCATATATAGTTTCGTCCGGTTTGAGACAAAATTTTGCACAACCTACATAGTTAAGTCCAGTTTGATGTCGGTGATGTTTTGTTGAGATCGGTTCGGATTTAGATATAGCTTCGTCGATTTTTTACCAAAAACCAAGTTAAAAAAAAAATAAAGAAAATCTTCACCGTTTGGCTTTATCCTAGTTCATACGATAGCAGTACGCTCACAGAGCTTTTTTTGAGAAGCCCTTTAGCCGTCACTTGATGCTGACACAATAAATCGGCTATATCTTCAAGAGTTCTTGAGATTTTGTAGGAACATTCTTGAATTAGTGTAGATTCGAATTAAAAAAAAAAAACAAAAATTTGACCCCGAGAATGGGGGGGGGGGGTCCCTTAAATTGGTTTAAATATCTTTGTAATAACTTCGTCCAATTCCATTTTAATATTTCTAACATATTCTATTCAGAGGATAGAACAAACATTACATATTTTCTATGTACCCATGTGAAGGGTGAAGGATATCATATAGTCGGCCCTTTTGAAATTTTCTTACTGGTTTATTATAAAGTTTGAACGTTGCCATGATCTGTGAAACACTACCTAATTTAAATGACCTCTAGCGAACTCTTACAAGCATTGATTCTTTTGATGTAATTTTCAAACCCTTTTTAAAACATCTTTCGATGTGTTCTAAACGGAATGACAAATTTAATATACATTCCACCTTATGATGGACGGTATAACAATATTTTTGACAAAAATGTAATGTTATATTTTCAAGGGCACCGGATTACAGTTTCATATGCATATTCACCTTAGACCTGCCCTGCATCAACTTAAATTCCATTCCTCCACAGACTTAACAAAGGATTTAATAATAATTAAAAACAACTTATTAATTACATTCTAATGATTCAATGTATTGTCTTGTTTATTGTTTTATTTTAAGAATCAAATACGATATCGATTTTAATATCCTGATAACATTCCAGAATTATAAATATGATGAGACTACCGGATTGTGAGTTTATTAATATTTAAATTTTGTTCGGACGAAGCATGCTCACGTGAATTTTTGCAAAATGCATAAAGCCATAATATTTTCAATATTTTATTGTGTGATTGCCAGCTGTAGTGAGGTCTTGGATTGGTGTGATCCGAATTTATGTCCAAGTGGTGAACAACATATAGCCTGTAATAATGATGGGGTAAGAATCTATTCACAAGACAATCTTTATAAATAGGGGACAATTTTTTAATTCATGTAAATCTATAAAAATCCAAAAATATACCTAAGTTCCCTCAATAATCCCATTCCCCTTTATAATTCCATCTTATATTAGGCTCTGCATGAACGATGTGGCTATGATGCTGAAATAATCGATTTGGAACCGTATCGTGATTTAATCGTACATGAACACAATAAACGACGAAATTTTGTAGCACTTGGACTATTGCCAGGATATTATCCTGCCTCTCGCATGGCCACACTACAATGGGATGAAGAATTAGAATATTTAGCCGACCTGAATGCACGCACCTGTATTGTAGAGCATGATGTGTGCCGTAATACATATCGTTTCCGTAATTCAGGACAAAATCTAGTTGGCATTTCACGTTTTAAAAATGTTTATCAAAATATAACGGAAATAATACTGAACGATATGTGGTTGTGGTTTCGAGAGCACAAAATAATCAATAGCGATATTATAACGGAATTTAAAGTTATTGGAGATCTGTAAGGAAATATGCTTAGTTTATAGAAAAATTAATAGATAATTTATGTTTTTTGCAGAGAAAAATACGGCCACTTTGCTGGATTGGTTTTGGAACGTAATACCCATGTGGGGTGTACTTTGATACGTTACACGCGACCAGAGTATCCTTATTTGTATATTTATAATTTTGCCTGTAATTATGCCACGGTATATGCCTATGATGTTCCCATTTATACGGTGGGTAAACCGGGGTCGAAATGTAGAAACGAAATTAATCCTCATTATCCTGGGTTATGCTCCCCCGAAGAGGTTTATAATCCAAATTATTAAATAAAATGAGTTTTTTTAATTTCGTTTTTTTTTAATAATTTAAAATTGTCATTCCGTTTGCATCATCTTGTATTCGACTGACGGAGTCCCAATAATCGGAGTAAAATTGTATACCTGTGGAAATTTTTATTGTTTTTGTGTAAATGGTTTAAAACAGTTATGGTCGATTTTTAGCTCCTAAACGATGTAACGACTGCTAACATGCCGGTATTACCGATAGATATATACCCTCAGCCTATAGTTTGCGGAGGTCATCGGAATTACACATAGGGTTTATTACTTGATTTGTATATGGTATATGTTTTTATCGAAGAAGTTTCGAATTTAATGTTGACCAAATCGGTTATTCAATTCGCTTCAAATTAAATTTACAAGTTTATAAACCAGTAAGGAAAGTAGAAAAATCGGAATGGGCCGACTATATGATACCCTTCAGCACTTTGGGTATATTCTACATATGTATCCTAACAGACGTCGTCTTCTCGAAGAAACAGGCTTTGTTGCTCCATTAACATAAAATCGGACTACCATATATATGGGACCTATATCTAAATCTGATTCGATTTTTCCTAATTTCAGTAGGGTTCATCCTTGGGTCAAATAAATGAGTTGTGCCTAATTTCATTTAATTCAGATCATAAATGCGACCTACACATTGTTTACATTTTAACATGGACTTACAGACAAACGGACATGCATAAGTCGACTTAGAAAGTGATTCTATGCATATTCTCAGAAGGAACCATATGCCTATCTCATTTTCTTTTCCCAATTACAAACATATGCACAAGGACATAATACCCTGTACCTGAAGGGTGCCACCTTCAGACTTGATTTAGGCTTGGTAATAATAATAGGTTGTACAAAGTTTGGGTCAAATTGGACATTCCATTCGCCTGATATTGGACTTATAAATATTGATTATTTGTGTCGGAGATACTAGAAGGTGCGGACCAATGGGATCCATCATTGGAATCTAGGCTTTGTAGTGATAATTGGTTATGCAAAGTTTAGTTCAAATCGGATAGTCCCTTTACATCATATTATAAAATAGTTTTTAGCACAATTTTGGTCATTTACTGGAATGAGTGGACCTATATCCCCCATCTACGAACTTGAACTATTTATACCCTACACAACTATGTTGTCAGGGTATTATAGCTTTGTGCAGCCCCAAGAGTTTGTAACGCCGCGAAATATTGGTCCTAGACCCACCATTAAGAATACCGATCGTCTTCACTCGACTAGCTGAATCGATCTAGACATGTGTGTCCGTCCGTCTGTACATTATAATTTGTAAACACGATACAGGCCACAGTTATGGACCAATCTTCACGAAATTTTGCATGTAGGAAGGGTTTTGGCCAGTGAAGACTCCCATAGTTTTTGGTAAATATCGGTTAATATTTAGGAGATGATATGGACCAAATATTTAATTTTTATCGGTTTTTCTGGTCGCTATAGAGGCCGCCAATATGACCCGAACGTAGCGAAATTTTACATGGAGAATAGGATTGGGACAGAGAATATGCATGCCTGCTTTGATAAAGATAGGTCATTATTTAGCAGGTCAAATGGACCCTGACTTTTGTGTGAAAAATTACAAAATTTGTATTCTATGGCGTATATATTTACTCGTAAAGCATATAGATCCGCGAAGTGGAGGGAATCGGAATAAACATCCGAGTTCCGTGGTAGTTGTGTAGGGTATCGTATGGTCGGCCCCGTCCGACTATACTGCTCCGCTCACTGGTTTTGGAAGAAATATTATTATGTGAAAAGTGTGGATGAAATCGGTTACTCTCTGGGAGATTTATCGTGCGCACCAGCCAGTCAGACGGACGGACATTTGTTAATCGACTCCAAATTGTCTTAAACAAATTTGGTACAAAAAAAAGGTTTTTGCCGTATCAAAGTCTATATACCCCCATTAGGCATAAGGTTGAGGGTATAAAAATGATAAATATCAGTCCACGTTTGGTATGGTCTCCCTAGATAATGGTTAACCCAATTTTTGGCATTTTAAGGATATCACACACATTTTTAAACGTCCAGCGTCATTTCGGGTATATTTAATGTCCTCTGGTATTTTTAAAAGTTCGAATTGGTTTTGGGTATATTTTAGGAGTACCTCATCGTGGAGAGTAGACAGACAATGATATCCATAGTTAAATTTACAATGTAGGCCTATGCTAGGTATAGGGTCGGAAACGATTTTAGGTATTTAGCATGCCAATATTATGGCGAAGAATATGAAATGTTCGCTCCTATCGAACTTTACGACGTTTTTATACCCACATCTTTATGTTTAATGAGGGTTATATTCACTTTGCTTCGATAAAAATGTGCCTCGCTGAAATAAAATTTTTAGATCCATGTTTCTTTGATCAAATCCCTATCAGTCCATTTGCATTTGGCCTTACCTTCTGGAATCTCCCAATATTTTCAAAGTCTTGCTAAAAATTAATTTTGTGATATAACATGTCCGATTTTAACCAAAGTTTCCCACTCAAGCCTTTATGATGTTTCAAGATGGAACCTATCGGTACACTCTTTGCGGTGCATTCCCCACAAAGGGTCCACATCTGTAAAACTTGATCATTTTTATATGAATCTAGAGTGACCATCCGATTTTCTAAAAACATATACATAGTATGAATGGTGAGTTCTGTGTGGTCTAAATCTAGCAGACTTTAATATTTATAATAAATATAGATTTTGTGCAGCTATAGGATTTAAACTCATCTTTGGACTTCATATCGGCAGAAATATTTAAAAAAAAGTAATTTGTGTATGTAACTTGACTTCAACCACTGGAAGTCTCCTGCGCTTTTCTTTCAAAAGAAAACTTTTGAAGTTGAAAATTCCTTACTGCTTTCCTGTAGAATCCTTGTCCACTATAGTCACAAAGTCGTCGTAAGCTCAATAGATTCTGAAAATCTGGATATATACAATAAACCTTTTTGGAGAGTTATAAAAACATTTATGCAGTTCGATATAGCATAAGTGGTTCCGGTGTCATCACTTCGCGAGGGTATTTAATTTACATATGTCAATTAATTTTTTCAAAAGATGTCTACCTGCCATGTATTTGGGAGATTTATGTCTTTCCCTTCGGAATATCAATACAATAAATTTCAGAATTTAAGGTAGGTTAGTGTGCTGTATGCGTGGGTAGAAAATTTTTCGAATTTGAAACAATACAATTTATTTTCTTTGTTATTGAAATTAAATGACTGTTTCGGTGATGTTTTGAATGTGTCTGAAATACCACCATTAATGTCCACACCTGTTAACGCAGATGCAGTTGATATAGTGGGAAATCAAAATTAAAAAAATAAAAATAATATGTAGTTTTTATTTGAGTTTCGGGATACTAAAATGAATCACTTTAATTATTAGTCATTGTTGACGTCAATTGTATAAATCAATACGACAAAATTCATTCATTTAGGTTGGAGTTTTTTTATTTCATATATAAATGAATGAAAGCCAGTATGTGGAGCAATAAAGTTGGACGGTAACGACCATATGATACCCTGCATAATTACCCCTGAATATAATCGTTCTGCGAAGCTAAATACCTTGACATAGTTTCACGATAATATCATTTGGTTGGGTGGTATCATATTAGAGTATGTAGAGCCTTGTACAAAATCTTAATATAAGGTTTATCCATTTTGTGGTTTCAAAATTAAACATGAATAAGACACATATGAGTCGTTTATTTTGAAAGTGGTTTAAGTCTATATTAGGTTCGGATACAAAACTTGGTTTTCTAAAAATTTTTATAAAACATATTACATATTATAAAACATATTCTATAATGTTTAAGGGCACAAAGTCACACACAAAATTAATAACACTTGACAATATTTTTTAAACAAATCAAACCCAAACCTTTTAATAACTCAAGTAAAAATTAACTTAAGGGGACCCCCCCATTCTCGGTGTCAATTTTTTTTTGATTTAATGTACTCTAATTCTAGAATGTTCCTACAAAATTTCAAGTGAAAATCTCAAGAACTCTTGAAGATATAGCCGATTTATTGTGTCAGCATCAAGTGACGGCTAAAGGGCTTCTCAAACTTTAAATGCGTTTTTCTCAAAACGAATGGCGGGCACGATAACTCAAAAACTAATAATTCAATCGGTTTCAAGACGGTGAAGATCTTCCATATTTATACCCTACACAACTATGTTGTCAGGGTATTATAGCTTTGTGCAGCCCCAAAAGTTTGTAACGCCGCGAAATATTGGTCCTAGACCCACCTTTAATTATACCGATCATATCTCGACTAGCTGAGTCGATCTAGACATGTGTGTCCGTCCGTCCGTCCGTCTGTCCATTATAATTTGTAAACACGATACAGGCCACAGTTATGGACCAATCTTCACGAAATTTTGCATGTAGGATGGGTTCTGGCCAATGAAGACCCCTATTGTTTTTGATAAAGATCGGTTAATATTTAGGGGATGAAATGGACCAAATACTGAATTTTTGTCGGTTTTTCTGATCGCTCCAGAGGCCGCAGTTATGGTCCGAACATCGTGAAATTTTACATGGAGAAGGGGATCGGGCCTAAGAATAAGCATGCCTGTTTTGATAAAGATCGGTCAATAATTAGCGGGTCAAATGGACCCTGACTTTTGTGTGAAAAATTACAAAATTTTTATTCTGGAGCGTATATACTTGTTCCTGAAGGACATATACTCGAGATGTTGATAGTATGTCCAAGATGAGTTGTTGACCTTCAAATTGATACCAATTATATGGTTGTATGTACTCCGATGCGGGAGTTATACGTAATTAAGTAAAGGTGACTATGTGCATAGTATTACTCTTAATCCATTATAGGACGGAAATGTCGCGCTGATCGCTTTGAAATTGTACATGAAGTTCCGATTATGGATAAGGACGACGCTTATAGTTTTCGGTGAAGTTGAGATTTCATCAGGGGCTGCAATGAACCGAAAAACTTTAATTTTGTCAGATTTTC